CCTATAATAGAATTAAAAATTAATATAATTTTAATTTTACATTAAACCAAACAATTGATTTTAAACTAATCTGAAAAAGAAAACATCATGATGATGCATTATTACCTAACAAAAAGCAGAAATTCTTAGAAGGAAAATAATTTTATTATTATGATATTGATTTATTTTTTTTTTTTACTGAAAAAGAAAATTATCCTTATGCAAATGTAATTAATGATCATCATACTGCATTGCTTATTATTGTCAATAAAAAACTGTAGTTTGAGTTTTTGAACAAATTCTACTACATTCAAGGATATGTTTTACAAGTCTTTGTTTTTCTCTCATTGACATTGGAACAAGGTAAATAATCTCGCCTTGTATTAGAACATTACCAATTCACTTAATTTTCAGGTAAAAAAAATTCAAATAACAAATTCTTCTAATAATCACCATTAAACAATTTTATTTTGGTTTAAAAAACAAACAAATAATAAATAAATATTTTTATCCATAATAACATTTTTTAAAAAAATTGCTTACATTCAATGGTGAATTTTTTTGCAGATTATTAATTGGACCCTTGCTTGGTTTCTTACTTCACTATAAAACTTACAACCAAGAAAAAGCCAACTCAAAAATAAAATAAACAAACTTACTGATGATAAACAATATTCACAAGAAATAGAAAATCTATGGAAGGATTTCAAACAATTATTTGACAAAAAGATTGAACTGAATCCTGATTTTTCATTTAATAAAATGGTCATGGAAATTCATGAATTACTTGCAGAGGGAAAAGGTGTTGTTACCTTCACAATAAAAAATTTCTATCAATGAAAAACAAATCCTAAAAGAAAAACGATAGAAGCAATTCAGGAATGGGTCAACAAAGAAAAGAAGAAAGAATTGGAGAGTGAAGTTGATGAAGATAATGAAAACAAAGAAAATACAAATATTAACAATAACATATTGATAGTAATAAAAATAGTAGTAATAGTGAAGTTAGATTTTTGTCAGTACCCAAAGAATACTTACAAATAGCTTTGGTCTGAGTATTTTCCTTCATGCAAGGGATCTGACAATTCTTTAATTTATATTTTTATAAATTATTCTCGTATTCTTCTATTATTAGTTGAATTAAAATAAAAATAATTTTCTTTTGTTTAATTCATTGTCTATAAATTAATTCCAAGTCATGTGCTCATTAATTTATTACATAAGCAACCCTGTTAAACCGAAGGCAATTGTGCAGGAACTTTTCTTCATATTAACGGGATTTCAGATTAACAGGGTTTTTTATCCTACCTATATATATTACAGGATTGTCGGTCACTATAAAAAATGTCACGCTGACTCACGTGTTGAGGAGACGGTGTAACGTTACACAAATCACCTTTTCTGGAGTTTTGTGTCACACGAATTACCATATATGGATTTTTGTGTCACCATTTTGGGTGATCCTTGCCATTTTGCGAT